TTTTAAAAGTGCCACATTTTCAAAATCTTTGCAAAAATGCCATTTTTTCAAAAAAAACTTTATTATACTATTTATGTTTGGGTTAACTACGTTGTATTAGGGTCTAGTTTTGAGAGTTTAAGGAGTTTTAGGGGTCAAACAATTTTTAGAGTTTATAATTTTAAGATTTAGATTTTAAAAATCCATAATTAGTGACATTTTTGAAATGAACATCCTAAATGGCATTCTTGCAAATGTACGCACCAAAAGTGATATTTTTGCAATTGCCCCATATATATATACAAATAAAGATGAGTATAACATTTTTTGTAAAATTTTTGATATCGTTTTTGTGATTGGAGCAATCTAAAACGTTATAAATTGTAAAATGTAATTCTGTTTGATTGGTAACAAACTTAATTAACTTACAGCCACTTTATAATTTGTAATGTTTTAGAATGTACCAAATACAAAAAAGTACCAAATTTTTTGTCAAAAATGTTACACTCATCTTTATTTGTAGATATTTTTAGAATGAATTTTTACACATTGCAATATGTTGTAAAACTTACGACTTCAACTTACACCTAAAAAATTTAGACCGTTTTAGATTACTAATCGGATCCATTGTAAATTTATTAAATTTGTTACCAACCAAACACATATAGACTTATAGTAAAAGAAACTTTGTACGAATTAATGCACAAGTTGCTTCCACAAATAAGATGGCTTTATTCTTCTCAATTCGAAATCTACAAGTTATTCTGTACTTAGGAGAAAATTATTTTGGTCTACTAATTTTTAGAACAGTGCGAGTTGGATTTGGAAGCGTTTAATGAAGTTGATTTATTTAAATTTCTTAAAAACTTTACTATGGAATGAGTTTATTTTCAATCAAATTTTATTAGACTCTACTAAATAAGTGAAAACTAAGTATAATTCGTCTAAAAATTATTATTCTTCAAAATAGGAGAAAAACACAGTAAAAAATGTTTTTTATATTTTATTATTTCTCTTACTGTTTTTTTCGTTCACAACCACTTATATAAAAAGAATCTTAAATCTAGTGTAACATGTGTTAAATCTTGCATATTCTTGTTTAACACACGAGTGACTGAAAGATCGAATGAGATTGCGAGTGAAAAAAGTGACTTGTGAGATTCGATTTTGATTTAGCATTATCCAAATACCAAGGTTGTAAGGTGAGATTCATCTTCTCGCTACCCTTGCACATTGTAGCAACGTGTGAGGCATGTGAGATGCCTACACTGGAATACACATGTGATCTCTTATTATATTAAAAATATGGTTAAATATAAATTATTAGTTATGGATATACTCGAATTATTCTCTTTTATTCATTTTCGGAAAGTATCATATAATCCTGTCTCCTATATTATTGGTATCTCATTCTCAAATTTCCGTTTTGAATCGCGAGTCGCGACCAACTCCGTATAACATGTCCAATCTCCAAACCAAAGGTAAAATATACATATACGCAACGCATGCTTAACTATAAAACAAGACCCGACTTTTGTTTATATATATGTAAGAGAATTGTAAATTTATTTGTTTTTTTATATTATTATTATGATAAACTTGTGTGAAACAACCAGAGTTTGTATCAATAGTTTATATCAAGGCACTAAATGGTAACCGATTAGTTTGAAGAATATGAAGAATTTGCAGAATAACTTTTTTTTGGTTACCATTTGGTTAATTTGAAGAATTGCATAATCCGATGAATTTGGACAAAAAGACAAAAATT